TGTACCAGGGTATCAGGAGTGAGTTTTGTGTACCATTGTTAAACCATTGTTTAAGGTGAGCATATGATATATGGCTTTGGGTATATGTATGGTATATGTATGGTGTGTGTATGGGTATCATAGGTATGGGGCTTAATTTCATGGCATGCCATTTCCTACCCGGGCAAGGGCAAGGCGACACTTGTATGAGAGGTTGTGTCATCAAGCCCCAATGCCAGGGACATGAATGTGGTAAGCTTGCTTATGCCAAGCGATGGCTTTTTGTTGTAAGGACAGTGTGCAATGGCAGCAGCTAGAGTTTTGGGGAGAGTGGTGGAATAATAAAGACTAGATGTCTGGAAGGTCAAATTTTACCAGTTGTTTGCAGTGTTGAATTGCTGGTAGTTTTAGTGATTAATTGGAAGATAATAAGAACAGGGGGGAGGGCAATACCATCTCAATGGGATACCAAAGCTTCATCCATGCTTGTCATTTTACAAGTAGCTCTGCATGACAGACAATTAAGTTGAAGTGCAAATAGAGCACAGAATTGATTAAGCACAGGCTCTTATAAGCTGCTTGGTGTGCCAATTATAAAAACTGCAGGATGAAAGTGATTTGGCTGATGGGCAATGTATGCTACTTGTATCAATATAATTATATGCATTCATATTGACACCTTTTCCTTTTCAGAGTGAGGGAACAGCAACTATCCGCACCAGGAAGTTTATGACAAATCGCCTGCTATGCAGGAAACAGATGGTGGTTGATGTGCTGCATCCAGGCAAGCCTGGTCTCAGCAAGAACCAGATTCGTGAGAAGCTGGCGAAGATGTACAAGGTTACGCCAGATGTGGTCTTTGTTTTTGGTTACAAGTGAGTTTTTGCCATGCTGCTAGTATGGTTATTGGATCAGTTTGTGATTGTCATTGTTCTTTCTGAATGGGATCATCTGACCTGTTAACTGTTATTGGAATTGGTTAAGTTTTACATCTTGTGTATGCTGAAATATGAGAAACCAAAAGTATAGGGTTTGATTCCCTATGGTCCTGACCCTTTATGGCAGGGTGACAGGCAAGTAATGCTGTTGCCTGAGCAGGTGTCATGAGTGTGTCATCATGCCCAGGTGACTGATAGTTACATGTAAGCAGAGAACATTATTTGTGCACAGGCTGGTTCAACCATCCAAATATTAGATGAGATTATGTTGCATGTAAATATCTGTAAGCCATAGTACAGCCTGCTTTACCCAGTGGGGTTTGATTCCACTTGCAAAAGTCTACTGCACTATGGTTCCGATCAGGTCCAGGCTGCACCCTGCTCAGTTACATTTCAGCACATAGGCGCAGCAGTTACACATGCATGTCATCTATTACAAACAGGTGGAATGATCATATTGATGCCACAGCTGGTGTTGAGATTGATGCTGATGATCTGACCATGATTTTTCAGTGATATTAATATTTAGTCTTGTAAAACTTTATGTTGTATGATTATATATGATAAACAAATCTTGGCATTGGTGATTACTTTCACCAAATTCATCTTGGCATTTGTATGTTGAATACAATGTGGTGTCTGAACAATAATTTGTTGTGCACAAGCTGAAGAGAATTATGACTGGATTGTGAATTTCTTATCTGCATTTAGATAGTAAACTGTCATGCATTCAGGCAATAAGGGTGAATGCCCCACCCTCACTGTCTAGGTGGTCTTTCTGTTGGAGGGATCTATTTCAGCAGATTGCATGACAACATTCTTATGCACATGTGATAAATACCATGGTGGTCCAGGTGCATGACCAATGGAGGCAGTGAGGAAGCATATCGTGCAAGTTCCCAGAGTGTCTCCCTTGCATGTCTCCATCCCAGTAGTGTTGTTGGTGTTCCAATTAATCCACTTGTGGCTTTGGGGTGAGTGAAGTGAAGAAGAACTTTGGGGTGAGAACAAGGCTTTGGGGTGAGTTCTGGGAAGTTCTTTTGGGAAGTTTTGGCTGCTTCAGGCCCACACTTCTTGCTCATCACTGAGACAGTATGTGGGCAGGTGATGTCTGAAGGCAGGGTGAGCCTGGCCAAGAGGTTTCTGACACAGAGTTGCCTTTCAGGTGCCACTTTGGAGGAGGCAGGATGACTGGTTTTGCGCTGATTTACGACACCCTGGACTTTGCCAAGAAGTTTGAGCCCAGGCATAGGCTGGTAAGTCAACAAGACTATCATTGTGTAGATGTTAGTAGAGGTGCATTGGCATGGCTCCACTAATGGAGGGCAATTTGAAGCTCCTCCCACCCCCCACCCCCACCCAGTGTCATAGCACCGGTATAAGATATCAGGTTGCAACATGACCATTGTAGTCAAGATGTTTAAACACCAGTAAACAGTGACAATATATCAAGGTAGTGTAACATTCACCAGTCTGGAAAGACACTTGTGTGGGTGGCTTGGTATTGGGCATGGAAGCATGTGACTGAAGCGCAGGGAGACCACCCTGGTCCGCCACCCTGTGTGTCCATCATCAGCATCATGATGTCCTCACAAATCACCCTGTTCTGGCTTGCTGGTCAGGTCCATATCCCTGCTAGCTGTCAGCCACCAATGCTACTCAACTACCTGCCTGCTGACTGTCTGTCTGTTCACCTGTGTTTACATGTGTTGATGCTCGTGTGGTGACGCTGCGGACGCTCTGCGCCACAGGTGCGGCAAGGCTTCCTGGCCAAGCCGCCCGGCGGCCGGAAACTGCGCAAGGAGCGCAAGAACCGCATGAAGAAGGTGCGCGGCACGGCCAAGGCCAAGGTGACCTCCGGCAAGAAGGTAAGCTGACCGGGGTCGGCCCCGGGGCGGGGCGGGGAGCGGCGTGAACCGGCCGTCGAGCGGCCGAGGTCATCGCCGCAGGACGCGTGTCCGGGTGGTCGCCGGACGGTGGAGATGACAGCTGTTTGTGCCGACGGCGGGCACGCCCGCGGCCGAGCCGTATTGGGAGTGCTGGGTGCCGCCGTACACGATCGCGACTGGGTGGTTGTACAGGCGTGCGCGCTTTGTGTTAAATGTTGGCTCCTTTGTATGGGCTGATGAGTGTCCAACGACGCGTCGAAACGTGGCCGTTGGAGCGCCACAGGCCATGCTGTGGCTTTCGGATGTGTGGGGTGTGGGCCACGGCTCAGCTTGGAATGGGTGGGGCCGGCGGCGGGGAGGCGTGGGAGCCTCGAAACTGCTTTACCGAGGCTTTACGCTTGGCGGCCAGCTGGCTGCATCTGTGGGGTGAGCATACTACGGGCTGTGCCGCACGCTGCGGTAACGCCCGGCAGTGGAGTGGGAGTCACCTGAAGGGGGTGGGAGGTGCTGGGGGTGTCAGCGAGGCGGCCGCTGGGCGGCAATATGGCGCCGCAGCGGCCGGAAGCGTCTCTGGTCTGTGGGCAACAGCGGTCTAGCTTGGTTCTGCTGAGACTCATTCCGAGAGCCCACTGGTTGTGTTATTTTTGCCTGACTGTGGGAGGCAAGTATTGGAGGCAGACTGTGTAGTTAAAAATGCGCTCCGCTGAAAGGAGCTGTCGATTTAACTCTCGGAATCGAGCACATTTGGTATCAATTAACCCCCATCTATTGCCAGGGGATGAAAAGGGCGGGAACATGCAACCAGCTAGGCCAGTTATATTCCTGTTATATTTACTACAGCAACATGCGTTTAAGGACTCCTATCAAAATCAAATCGAGAGAAATTTTTGCTAAAACGTTGGGCTTCTTCGGCCCGACTCCCGGGTGGTTTCTATGAGCGTGTGTCGTGTGTGTGCTGCTGTTTCCCTTATGGGGCGTTGTCAAGTATGGGCTAGCCTCCCTGTGCCCATACTGTGCGGCGCTCTCATGCGTATACGTAGGACATCCGTGTGACGCTCGGCGTCCGTGGTCCCTGTCCCACGTCCCGCTCTCCGACTTCTCTTTGTTACATTGGTGCAACGGCCTACGTGACTTCCCATGCAGAACCAACCATAACTGCCACGTGACTTCCCATTCAGAGAAACAGCGCCTCGGGGCGGTTCGCAGGGGCAGGGTACGTGTGGACGCGAGCGGAATGTTTCTTGGGGGGGAGGTCACGTGATTCGGATAGCGAGCCATGGACGGTGACCGTCAGTCGTGGATCAACAGGTCTATGGTTTGGGAGGAACAGCACCGTTGCGGGTGTGACCGGGTGACCTGGCGCTGGCGCCTGTCGAAGTTGGCCGTATCCCCTCCCCCCGGGGGCACTCCCGCCCGTCAAGCGTCAGTCTCCCGGAGATGCTCTCGCCTGTCGCCTCCGGCCTCTCCCTCTCCGGGATCGCTTTGGATCTAGATCCCGTCTGGATCTGCTTTCCCGAAGTTCTCTATCCCCCGCCCCCGGAAGTGTGACCGGGCGCGCTCTCTTGCTCGCTCGCGGGTCACGCCAGCCGGTCTTGTTGCAGCGCTGAGCGGCGTGGCGCACTGCGTCCGTCCGGCGGAGCCCACTGTGCTCAGGTCTGGTCTGGTCTGGTCTGCCCTGCCTGTGGCGCATGGCGTCGATGCATGCCCCACGCGGCGCTCCTGTGTGTGTGTCGCCCTCCTGACCGGCTGTGTTGCCGGCCGTAGCACCGAGCCTCGCGGCCGTGTCGCGCCGTAGTAGCTTAGAGCCCCTACCCGCAGGCGTTGGAGGCAGCACTGGACCAGCAGCTGCGGTCGCAGAAGCTGCCCTTTTGAGTTGATAACCAGCGGCTTTTGATTAACTCGTAGCGTTATGATCCGTTTCTTTATAACCCCGTTTTGGCATCGGTATGCCGTTGACCGTGGCGGCACGCTGTGTGTGCAAAGTGCACGCTCCGTTTTCAGCGACGTGCCTCTTTTCTTTGCAGCGCTGATCTGTATGTTGGCCGACTCGGCCTTGCTTTGAGCTGCGCGACGGATGCCCGTCGAAGGCATTTAACCATGTTGCTTGCGATTGCTTTGGTTGTTCCCATGAATTGCGCTTGCTTGAATACGAATTTTTGCCTGCCATGCGCGTTTGTAATGAAATGTTTCTGTTCTTTATGTCACTGAAACTGTAGTCGTTTTAACGTCTGATAACTGGTTGTTCTGTATGATGTCGGTCTGACAGCGCTTTTCGTTGTCTGCCTTCACGTTGAGCTCGGCGGACGTCCCCGCGCCGTCCTTCACATTGAGGACGGCGTGTCCGTCCGCTGTCGGCGCCCCTTTGGCGGGCGCGTGCTGTGCTGGCGGAGCGGACACTCGTGCTGACACGTCCTCTATCTCGTTCCAGTGAGCTGGCCGGCCGTCCACCATCACTGCTCCCTCATCTGTGTCCCTGCGACTGTCAATAAATACCTGACCGTCGCCACGTGCTGTTTGTCATGGGGCTCTCCCGGCCAGAGCTGGGAAGGACGAAGGGTAATGCAGAAGGCGTCAGGGTAATGCCTGGTAGGACACGCGAGCATATTAATGCGAGACTATGGATGTGTATGGTGGCGATTGGTGCTCAGAGGAAGCAAGTTCCTGAATTCTGAACGTAGCATCCTGCGTTGTCAAACGGAGCGCGTCGCCGTCGTGGAACTGATGCCTCCGTTCCCCAGTGGTATCGGCCCGCAGGGGTCGGTACAAGCTCGGGTAGAGCGACTGTCTGCTCGCCGTCTGCCGGGTGGTACATCGAGTCCAACTCTAGCTCCCAGCCGAGGGCTGCGACGTGCTCCACGTCGACCTCCGTGTGACATCGCAATGATAATTGGAATGCTTAGTGGAGCATTACCCATGTAGGACTGCTAAGCGTTGCTCAAATGTCTCATCTCAAGCCAGATATTACTTAAGACTGCACGCAAGCGGCCTAGAAATTAAAGGAACTAGAAGCAGCGTGAAATTAAAAAAAATATGTTGCGACTCTACTGCCTTAACGGTGGCCCGAGGTTCGGCAGCAGCTGCACCCGCCCTCGCACGTCATCGTTGATGGCGAGTCCCACAACGCGACGGCGTGCGACGGTGGCGACCAGCGCCGCCTATATCGTCTGGCTTGCAGGACGACACCGCGGCTATCGCCTTGAACAAATTTGCGCGAATTGGAACGGCCGGATTTATGCGTGAGACGGGGACTTGCTGGACCTGTACGTGTTGGGGAGTCAGGGAGGGGGGTCTCCACCTGCTGTCAGGGGAACGACACATTCCTCGACATGTGCTCAGTGAACTAAATATTCACACAGCCAGTTTCCTCGCAACGAGCAACGAAGCATCGACATGGTTCACTCCCATAACCAATTTAGTATACTGGGTCTTATAGCGTATACAGCTTAACACATCAATGCGCAGTGCGGAGGAGTCAGTTGCGGAACTTGTGGTCCGCAGTTAATGCCTGCGACGAGACCTACTAGGGATGGGTTGTCCCCGGCCACATGCTCATCAATTCGGTCTGGGCCGTGGAAAGTTTTCCACCCTACTAAAACAGAGGAAAAAGCTTGTCCATATCACTAGCAATTCTCTTCTAGCGGATTTAATATGCTCGGCTGCCAGGCAGGAGGTAAGGATTGAGCTGAGCTTGTAATGGAGGAAAAAATCGGAATTTAGCGCTAGTCCGAAGGGCCTTGCGGCGACAACACCACCTATATCTTTGTGGGTGAATCTCCAGCGCCACCTGCAGGCGTGTGGATAAGCGAGGGCCAGTTCGGAGCTCTGATGAGAATTACGCGCGATCATCAGGCCATGCCAAGACCAAACTCATTTGGGTTGCACCAGCGAACCAACAAAAGGCCAGGCGTGAGGTGTAAAACATTTTCCATTTTCGCCGCGCTGGGACAATTTTTTTGCAGCTTACCCAGCGCTTTGGACGCATTTTTAGCCTTTCAAACCACCTTGACTGCCTGGAAAAGAAGACGGGATGCAAAGTCGGAACAAAGAGAAGCAGTTTTAGTAATGCACTGTATTTCATTGCATTTTATCACCAATCCGTTGTGTCCATATCTTTCGGTGCCGTCAATGCAATGAAAAATATCGCAACGCCATAGACATGGATGAAGATAAAAGGCATAGCGAGATAAGGGCGCATAAAAGCAGGCTGGGAATGGACTGAGTAAAGGAGGGCTAAGGATTGGGATATGCGATTGGGAGCGCGTCAGCCACGCACGCTAAGCTAACATGGTCCACAGGATTCACAAGAATGTGGGTTGCAGGATTAGGAAACTCAACTAAAAACATGGCGAATATGATTGATCGCGTGAGATTTCTTCGTTGCAATTCCGTCGTTGACCCACAGCTTCGTTGCCTTCGTCTCGTTCCCTTTCACACTTCTACACTTTCGCAAGATTCCCAAGGATGTGGGTTGCAGAATTAGGAAACCCAATCAAGACGAATATAAGTGATCGCGTGAGATTCCTTCGTTGCAATTCCGTCTTTGAGCCACAGCTTCGTTGCCTTCGTCCCGTTCCCTTTGACTCATTATCTTTACGTTAAAAAATGTGTTGACATTTTATTCCGATTCAAGTTTTCACCAACACTCCGAATTACAAGTTCTTCCTCACGGACGGTACGTGCATTGCAAATTTAAATGCTTTCTGGGCAGTCATAATACGCAAACCGACTCCGAACAAATGAGATGAATCTTGCGCAGACGTCACTAAAGCAAAAAAAAAAAAAAGAAACGTGGAGACAGAACTATACATCATGCATTTACGATGAGTTGGACATTCTAATATCTGCCTTCAGAAGGTACCAAAGTCTTGCGACTCGATGTGAGGTGTGCTTGCAGTTCCAACATCTTCTGTTTTAAAACAATAAAAAAGAGCCACAGCAAAAACCACCTGTCAGCCGACGTGCACGCATGTCACATAATTTTCATTTCTGTGCTCTACGAATGCCACTTGGTCAATGCTAGTTGATGCCATCATAGAAACGGAATGTAAAAACGAAATCATAGAAACGCAATCTAAAAATAAACAAGTAAAATAGCGGCATGTGAAAAGTATACCAACTTTTCACTTCTGGGATTTCTCCACCCGGATAATTGCGATACCAACACTTCTGTGTAATGAGGCACGTTTGCTGGTAGTGGTGCATGGTAGTTGCAGACACATTAAAGACAAGGCATGTCGAAGCCACCAACCGGCCCAATGGTGGCGTGAAAAAATTGTAAAATGCCCGTTTATGAGACATTGTCTGCATAATTATGAAGACCACATTTCGCTTCAAAGCACACGTTTGCTGCTAGCTGGTATACGTGTAGTCATTTTGGCGGCAGTAGTTCTGTTCTTAGCCCGTCAAGCCGAATTTGAGGCTAATGGCTTCCAATTATCTGTTCGCGAAGCGGAAGCCGAAATTAGCAGTTTCGGGCTCAGGAAAAAAGCCAAAACCCAACCAACCAGCTTAAAACAGCAAAGCCGAAGCCAAAGCCGAGCCTACACTCCAAAGCAAATCACTCCTGAACAGCAAAACATTTATTTCCATAGCAAATACACATGATGGGAACACATTTGCAGACAGGTGCAAAGACGAGTTCGATTAACACGGGACACTTATCCGCGTGTGAAATTTAAACGTAAAAGTCGTCTAACCGTAGCCGCGGACATGGCTCAGCTTTTGAACTGAGTGCCGCTGGTCTGGCTTGGGCCCCGCGGGTCCATGTGGGCCTACTCTGATTGGGGCCAACACGCCCATGTGGGCCCGCCACGACTGCAGCCTCCGCAAGCCTACGTGAGCCTGCTCTGGCTGGACCCCGCGGCCCCATGTCGGTCTCATGTATCTCAAAATCGACCTGGGGTTAGAAGGCAAGCCGTTTTGAAAGCCATAAGCCACCGTACAGCCATCGTCACCGCCCAGACCGGCTACGTGTAGAAGCATGTTGAGTTTATCGTGTAGGGGAAGGGAATCGAAATCGCGTTGATAGCGTTTCTGAAAGGATTTTAAAATTACGTTGGCAAGTGGCACAATAGAGCAGAGAGAGTAAGGTTAATTGAATGCAGTGTTCATAGAGAAAGCCACACAAACCCAATTGGCCATCATTTGTTAACATTTTATACATAGCAACTTTCAAGGAGAACGTGCCTAACCGAAGTGTGGCGTGGATGGTGTTACCCAGTTTTTGCCTAAGTGATGGAGCTTTTATCCCCAGCCTCTTGTACTGAGTGTGTTTGTATTTTGGCAGCGGAATTACTGCACGGAGGTGTAGATTGTTGTCAGAGACAGTTGATTTCGAACTCAAGCTGTGGCATGTGTGAGGGCATGTGGAAATAAGGTGGGACAGTTCAATGGTTGTGATTGGGCGCTTGCGTTGCGCAAGCTTATGCCTTTGTCATGTTGTGCGGCGAGGGCGATATATGTAATGTAATTGGAGTGGTGTGAGCGCGTGTCTCTTATCTTGAAAAACAGTGCTAAGGTATGTATGTGTATGTGGCGTCTTGTGTCGAGCGAGTCTCGCCGACTGGAAAACCCAGACGTAACGTCTAGGTTTCCCAGACGGTGTTCCAAGATGTGCATCTGCCACGAGCCTCGCAGCTCTATTTTTAAGCCTGAAGTTTGAGTGAGTCAGTGACCGTGGTGCATCGTCGCACACTGTGTCGCAGTTGTCTAAGTGTAGTTGGGCGCATGTGGTGTAAATCTGGACTGGAAGAAACCTCATATGATGTGCTATGGCATGGATATGGCTGATGGCTCCATTTACATTTTTTATCACTTTATTGACGTTGTCGTAGCAATGTACGTCATCAGAAAATGTTATCCCCAAATGTTTGTCGATGTCTCTAAGTGAGAAGCTTAGGGAAGTTTGGTTAAGCAATGTTCTTGAATATTCGCTGCTTTGTTCTGTCTGCATTTTTGTGGAAGCCCACTCCTTACCATAGTCGAAAATTTGATTTCTACCGCGGTCTTATTGCAATGACGTTCATATTGGTTGTCTGGGACGTGAGCATGGAGAAGTACAATCAGCAAAGAAATGAAGAGCATGCGTCGTCTTACGTAACGTCTTACGTAACGTCGTCTTACTCTCGCGATGCACGAGGAAAAGGAGTGAGCCCAGCACAGATTCTTGCGAGCATTTTGCATTGCTGGATTTTGATGTCCACAAATCTTCCCCCCCCCCTTTATCCTGGTGCGCTCTGTTGCTGAGATACGATTTGAGCTGACGGAGGAGCATGCCAGACGTGGCGAAATCGTGTTTACCAAAATATAAACAGTCCCTCTTGCCAGATTTCGTCAAAGCATTTTGGTATGTCAAAGTAGATGGCTGTGAAGTCTCGCCCTGAGCACAGTGCCTGATTCAAGCTGTCTGTGTGTGAGGTACATGAGTTGCCTGTGTGTACTTTGGTGGGATTGATATCCTCTCGGTGGTTCAGTGTGCAAGCTGTTGGTGATGAAGTGAAGATACGT